TGTATCGTTAGCGAAATCATGATTTTTAATATGACGATAATAGGACTGAAATATGCAATGACAATGAGTTGAATATTTTAATCTTCCGTACTTTACATCTCACTTGTTCTTGTGTAAACAAGTAATCAAGGTTATTGTTTCCTTTTATTTACCTAATATGATACGTACATAATTGAATTGTTGTTTTTTATTTATTGAGAATGATTGTTTTGTGATATTTGAAGAAATCAAGCTATAGTTTTTAGAATTATATATTTATTCAAAACGCTTTAAATCATTTTCTAAAACAATGATCTTGAGAGTATTTTGAAGCTATTTACAAAAATTTAAACAGGTTTTATGACTGGAAATCAATAACAAAATATGTGTTATCATTTTCCTGAAAGAAACAAAATAAAATAATATAAACAAATGTTCATCAACTACATAATATAATAAGTGTCTTCTATGATCTATGATAATTGTCTTGATTTATTATACAGCATGTTTGCTTCTCGTTAAGTCGAAAGGTAACGTCATTAAATAGTATGAATAATATAGTTTCATCATATGAAAGAATACTCAAACTTTCTAACATTTATAGACATAATTTGAGTTATTTATTCTTTATTCGAAAATAAAAGAATGTGTTAACTAATTCATATCTGCATTTGGATGTTTCTTTTATTAAATGAAACAACTTATTCTTTATCACACTTTTTTGTTTTTGTTCCAGTGATTTTATCTTTGAGTACGTTGTTGGTTTAAACAATATTTATTTCTTCCTCTATATTTCCAAACAATAAATTACATCTCGGATTGCGTAGAAAGCTTAAAGCGTATGTGAAACTCTCTCCTGATTACGTTCATTTTTGATCGATTTTTGAACAAGAAAAAACAATGGCATAATTAATTGATGTCATTTGCTGTTACTTCTTTAACGGCAAAGAAGTAAAGTGAGTATGTAAATGATAATTGGAATACCATGGCAAAACGACAACAATTGGAACTCATAAATATTTTTTGTGTATATCTATAAGCATGTTAGATTGATAACTATATTAATGAACTCTTGTTAAACAAATTAAACAGCTTATGCAATAGAGTAGAGTGAAATAAGAATCCCTAAAGAGAGCCCAACGCGGCAAAATTGAAAATGTTGCAGGCTCGGTTCAATTGAGCCTGTTCATGAACGGTACTGTCAAGTGCAAACTACCGTCCACGCCCCCTAGCCCCGGCTTAAGCAGAATTCAACATTTAACTTGACCTGGCAAAATTTAGAATTTTGAAACATCTGCAGATGTGTTCATATGGCGGTTATCCTGGAACCTTCAATGTGACACGTTAGTGCCATTCCATGAAAAGCGGCATATGGTCCCCAATTAAAAAAATGCGTGTGCCCTAAACGAGAAAACAATGGGCGGAACTAAATAAAACGGAATTTTGAAAGGGGAACTGAGGTTATGAAGCCTGAATATCACAGATAAAACGTCAAAAGACAAATTTAAAATGCAGGCCTCATATCCTAAGGGTGATTCAACACTATTCAAGTGTGAGGAATACTCTAACCACCCAACACGAAAGATACCGATTAGATAGAACTAAATTACCACAAGCACAACAATTAAGTCACGCTGAACGATTTTTAAGGATCGGAAATATAACATCCCTGATTGAAACACAGTTCTATCTTAAGACCAACCAACTGTTTAATTAAAGCAATGGTTTGCTTTTGAAAACACCCCAGACATTTCAAATATTAATAACTACATTATGATAATTCTAAAAACCCATGAGACTATAACAACCAAGTGACTTTCATGCTCTAATAACATAGTTAGTTATAAATTAAAAAAAGCATAGCAATACCTATACTAGATGGGAAAAAAAGCTCTATGTGCTTAAACAGTGCATATTCTGAACATACGATTTTTAAAAAAGGAGATAAATTTCTTATATTTGTCGATATTCTTGCTGATTAGAAAAATCAGTATAAGTAGCCCAAAACTCATTATTTGTAAATGTCTAAGCAATGCTTAACAGCGACATTATTTAATGTGTAACAAAGTTGCTGTTGTTGCTGTTGTTGTTGTTGCCATTTTCATGATTGTTATTATAATGAAATCCTGCTTTATCTGGTACTAGACTGAACAGGCTCAATCAATCTGAGCATGCAGCATTTCATGATATTGCCGTTCTGAACATGTTTTCATTTCGAAGGGGGAAAAACTATTTTTATAACAATAAGGTTGGCGGATGGGAGAACGGACGGGCGTAGACAATTTCTTATAAGCGCAATTCTTCATACAATTTCTCAACGAATTTCTCAACGAAGCCTTGAGATCAAATGCCCTGTCGCGTACTGTCTGATAATCTCTGACCTAAAAATGGTCCTTTTTTCCTTATATGGAATTTATAGTGATCAATTTCTTTTGTGCGCAACTCCTACGACATTTCTCAAGGAACTTTGTCCAAAATTTCACAGAAGATTTTTCATAACGTGCCCAAATGCATAAATAAGCGGTATAGTGATTCTATAAATTTTGACCTAATTATGGCCCTTTGTTGTTGTTATTTTTTCACCCAATATATGTAATTTATATTGTAATACATAAGCAGATTGGGATACTTGTTTTATTTGGCTGTAGAGCAGCCGTGTCTTTTATAATTTTATGTTGGAAGCATGATTTACTGCGGGATTACAAGATTAATTTTGCGATAATTAAAAATTATTACAAAGTAAATACAAAAATCATATTCATAATTATGGGAAACATTTCTGTTCCCAATTTCTGATTTTTTAGTTTATTGCAAAACATTGGTTATTTGACAAAAGTTCTTAACCCCGTCAACAAATAATGGGAAGCTCGTCTGGTTGATAAGCTTTGTACAACTTAATAATATGGAACCGGACTAATAAACACACACAATGATGACGGACACAATTCATCTTAAAACACATTGTCCGTGGTTATAGTATATTCCAGATCGGCTTATAATTTGCTTTACTTATTTTTTCCCTCGCTATTACCTAAACAGGCGTACTATCGAATTTACACTCACGGTAAAAATTCACAGCCAATTAAGAAATAAAACGACAAAACCTTTGGACAAGCGATAGGCACCTACTTATTTGTTAATATAAATGTTGTTAACCAGTGAATATTTGCAATATCGAAAGAAATTTGACGCAATCGTAAGAAGAAACAAGCTGAAAATCGAATTTAGTGTGAAAGGGAAAGGCACAACCAAACAATGTGCTTATGGTACTTGTAGAAGTTAATCGAGAGTCGAGATGCCCTTACAAGCTAGATATGGAACTCTTTTTTTGGCCTAAGTCCTGTCTGTTTTCAGTTCTACTTCTAGTAATATTTAGAGGGAAGAATATATGTAAAATAAAATTGTTCATTTTAAAATTACAATCTGAAATCTCCGAATCTGATTGGTCAATGTAAAATAAGGAAAAAAAACATATAGGATTGTGTGACATTGTATACGCATCTTATTTTTAATTGATCTATAGAAGTTCTAGAAGCGAGCTATCTACATTCATAAGAGTTAAATTATAGATATGTAAGTTCTGTTTAACCATGTTTCATCTACACATTATAAGTTCTATATAACCATGCATCATCCTAAAGATTTTTTACGCGGCTTTAATGAGTTATAAATTTTGTCAAACATGAAACATGAACAAAACCACCACTTTTTTGTACGTCAACGATCTGTTTACAGTTTCCATACACAAGAAAACGAACTTATTTAGTATTATCAGTCATTAATGTGAAATGCATACAAATAATTTTTATGTATGTTACAGGCTAATGAAATATAAATATAATCGCTAACGATTGAATGGGTTGTTTATAATAAATGTTCGTCAAAGTATTTTTGAAAGCGCTTTCTTTTGATTATTTTTAGGATTTAAGGTTTCTGTGGTTATTTCCAAAGATGTTGCAAATCTGTTGATTCGGGCATTTCGTGTCAACAAAACGTTGTCATTTATTTACTTTCTATTAAAAGTTCGATTTGAATAAACATAATTTACTTAAATGGTGTTCTTTGAGCTAAAACGACATTCACAATAAAAGAAATCAAATAATTACATGACGATATAAATGAACTGAGACTAAAACAAATTTAGGAAGAAATAAATTGTTTCGTTTGTAGTTCTTACTTTCTTTTTTCTTTACTTTTAAAGTATTTAATTCAGACTTTAGATTGTGTTTCTGTTTACAAAACAAATTTTGTATATCATATGATTTTAATATTTCAAAAATGTAAACGTTAAATTCAATAAAAGGCTCAATATCATAATACTTATGATTATATTTCCCTGTTTCCTAAGATACGATATGCAAATAAACCAGTTTTGGTGAGGCCAAGTATCATTTTTAAAGATACTTCTTGAGTCATACGATTCCGCAAAAATAAAAGGGAGCCCGACTGGGGAAAATTTAAAGAAATACACCATAATTTGCCGAAGAATTTATGTGCCTAGTATAGTTATGGTAATTTTGTATTTTAAACGTAGGTCAGAATTACACTAACACGTTCTGCTACTTTTATGAAAATTCATTTCACATTAATCACAACCTTTTTCTTCAGGTAACACTTGACTTATCCCTTTCCATTTAACCAATTCCTTCGCAGCCATTTTTTGTTTAAGGTGTAAAACAATTAGTTATGTTTAAACATAATCCTCGTCAGGGCTGAAACTTTTTAATGGAATGCATTATATACAATTGACTTTCATAATATTTCAGTGATATATCAGGCGTATTGTATTGATTTATATCTTTGATTTTATTGTCTTTGTTATATATTCCTGAACCATTCATTTTTTTAAGTGAAATATTGATATTTTCCCATAAGCACTCGGCTAATTATAATTGCCTTTTCAAAAACCAATTCCAATGAAACGGAAGAACGATATTTGATGATGCAAAAATGTTATTTAGAAACTGTCAAGAGTTGGTGATTGTTGAAGTACTCAAAGGATACATCTACTGTTAACTCCCAGAATTCATTCTGGAGGCAACATTTAAAAAATAAACGCTTAATTTTGAAAACGTTTCAAACACTTCAATTTCACAAACAATGTTCAAGCTAACAGTTTTTATATTGTGCATAGTTAGCGTGAAATGTTCGACAGAAGGATTTGTTGGGTTTCAGGCGTTCCCTAGTGAATTAAGGATGACACAGGGAGAGATCTATCCATCAGAAATAGATATAAACACATGCTGTCTCGTCTGCGCAAACAACGACACATGTACATCTGTTAACTACAATAAAGGTTCAAAAACGTGTGAAATAAATACCCTAAAAATGAAGTCCAGAGAATATCGAATACAGCCTGACCAAGGATGGACTCTCTATGAAAAGGTTTGGTTTTCTTTAACATATATTTTGTTATGCAATCATAAATTGATTAATATATTTTTTCTACTAGATGTATTCATTCATTCGTTTGTTCATGTAAGCGACTTTTATGGATCTTCAACCACCCCCGGATCTGAAAAATACATTTCAGCCAACTGTTTGTTCAAGTTAGTTTGAACGCCTTTAACATCTTCGAGACATTATTATGAACCCCCAGCGGAAAGAAGAAAAAAATCATGGTACGACTGTCACTTTTAACCCGCTGAAATTTTTTAAAAAATGAGGAACGAATCGTATTGTAAAATAATAAAATGAAAAATCATTAACATGGTATGTTTAAAACATCTTTTTGCCTAGCCATAATTTCTAGCATTAATAAATGAAAGGATATAATTTAATAAAAAATAAAGACATATTATTTGACGAGGAAATGCACGGACACTTTATGAAAAGTAGATGTGAATGAACAAACTTGGTGATTAAAAATGCAGACTCGGATTCATTGCATGTTCAAAACATATAGAACCGTCTTATTTTTGATAGAAAAAAAAACAACTTTAAAATGATTTTAACTTCTGCATTTAGCTACCATGTGGCATTGGCTATATGAGCGGCGCACGATGTCGTCATATTCAGAACTCGTTTCAATATGACGATGTCACTGATCATGAAGAGGCCTTAAATTTCTGTGAGATACTAGGTGACAATCTGGCAACGCTTGACAATGAGCAGGACAAAGTAGATCTGGAGTCTGACGCAGGTAAAAGCAATTGATTTTTTGTTTTTTTAATTACTTTCAGGCAAATTTTGCGAATCCTTTTAAAATGACGCAGGTAAAATGCGTTGTTTTTATACATGTACTATCAATTTATTCCTCTGATGTATAAAGAATCGTATTTAAGATATTCCAATTAACATAAACACTATGTAAATCTAAACAATCATGAGTTACAACACTACAAAATGATGTCAAGAATATTTTTGTGAAATCTTTATTTTTTATTTTAATTTATTTATTTTTTTATTTTATTTTTCGTTATTCATTTCTTTGTTTTCTTTTAATGCAAAACCAGCGTTTAAAACAGAATCCAACCTATATTTTACTCGCGATATTTAAACAATGAAAGCTATCATAAATGTGAACTGATCTTAAATAAAATTCCTTTATACTATTATAATAATATTTATGTTGACAGTATATCATACATAAGATCAAACAATGATGGAATTATATATGAGTGTTGTCTGTTAGTGTGAGGTACAAGACGTAATAATACATATATTTAGGTAGCAGTTAAGAAATTGTTCTAGAGCAAAATATCATTTTAATATCGTTGTAATGTTCATATTTAATAACTCAAAACTACTGTATTTCAATGCGCACTTTCGAGAAATATTTCATGGAGTATCAAAACGATATATTTTTCTATTGTTTTCATCTATATTTTGAAATACTTATGGAACATATACCAACTGTAGACCAATCCACTTTAATTGTGACATGTGATTATTTAAATATGATGTATCTTTTTCTTGTCTTTATGTTAATATATACGATATGTTGTTACCATGTTTGAAACCTGACTTACCAATAAAGAGTATTGTATTTTATTATTGTATCAATGGTAAATGTGCTTTGTCATTTGTTTTGTTTTATTGATATCTTGGCAATGCAAATGACCTTGCTATAGACGAAAACTTTACAGACTTGTTTAAAGCAGCACGCCTCCAGATTCACGCTAATTTTCATGAAAATTTTGAAAATGTATTTGAATGTATAATATTGTAATATAACCAAAAGGAAGCAATTTACACATTATCAATGACTCTTACAACTAACGTAAATTACTATAAAGTGGTCAAACTATGCATAAGTAGCCCTTACTGTGTTAGTTAGCAGTAGAAATATATTTGTAAATACTGCAAAATCAGTCAAAAACCGCACATAACATTTTAAATATTACTTGAATCTTTAATCATTTTGCTTTTCCTAAAATCGAAGTGCATATTTCTCAAGTTTGATTTCATTGAAATATTTTGACTCATCTGGAGGCATGCACCATTACTAGATTTTGCAAGAGACTGGGTATTGCTTTGTAGGAGCACATTTGTCTCGGAACACATTTGTCTCACGATGTGTGACCGATGTGCTCGTAAACATTCATGTTTACGACAAATTGGAAATGAGACAGATGTGTTCGACCAGCAATAGAAAGGACACTCAAAGCACATTTGTCTCACAGTCTTTCATAAAATTCTAAAAAGGCAATAATTATGCTCGTCCATATACCGGCTATCATCAATTGTCCTGCGTTTTCTGTATTTATAATACCGTTTTTAGGTCACTTCCGGTCAATCAAACACTTCCTGCCTCTGCATAGGAGTCACATATTAACTTAAAGAATATCCCTGTTCTGTATGTCACAATGAAAATTTCTTCCAGTACAGTATCCAGAGCCCAAACACATATACAGAGTGTCCTTTCTTATCGTTATTGATTGTGGATGCTTTAAGCTTTATAAATGATTTAAAGATAGGCTAAGCAATCTACGGTTGCATAAACGGGACATAGTATTTTCTTAATTACGTGCGCAAGCGATAGCTATTACGTGGCCATCCGATACTAATACTATTACGTGCGCAGCGATAGCTATTACTTTCTAAAGGGATAGTTATTGCGTGTGCACGAGGATAAGTACATATTCCGCATTTGGGCTTCCTCGCATGAATAGTTAGACGCCCCAAAGGAGTGTCGAACCTACAGCGGTTAGGGGGAAGTGGTTTTTTGAATTCACTCGGACATGGAGGCCACTTCATGATCTCAGGAAGAAAATGAGAAAATCATCCCATACATATTTTGTTTTCGTCGGATAAAATATCGCCATTTTCCGACAGATCCGCCATTGAAAAAGCTCTTACAACGTGTATGAGTCCCTTAAATAATCCGGGTAATGCAATAATTATGGAATATCGGCCTCGTATAATCGGGCGAGACGGGAAATTCAGACGAGACACGAATCGATGCACGATATTGTAACACGATATCTCGCAATGTCGAAGCATCCCGTACCACGAGATGTCAAAGTAGAATATCGTGCCTCACGTCATGTTTTGTCGAACTTTCGCTCTTCATGTCGTGTCTCTTGGTAAAATATCGCGCATCGCTTCGTGTCTGTGCTTCTCAAAGGTTTGACTATGGTAAAGGAACCAGCGCGGAGCCATCTGGCCTTGTCGTAATGGACACCATTTTTTCTCTTAGCATGGCCACAGACGTCTAAATTTAAGCTATTGTCTGTTTAAATTTCATCATTGATATCTTTTTGACATTTTGGTAAAATTGTACGTGATAAAGTGAATTTCAATTTTAATATTGGAGGTTCTTCCACGTCATAGCAGATTATGTAAGTGATTTTATGTTAACAAATGTGACGCTATACATTTTCTTAAGAGATGCATGACTCCTACTTTTATCAGTTTTATCATAACTCATGATTTGTTGATAATGAGTCTAGCTATGTTTTGTAGATCTTCGAAAAACGTCCGTTTTATATAGATTATAAAGGGAATACTATTTAGCGGTATTTGGCCTCGAAGGATTTTCTTGTCTCAAGTCGAAGTACGAGATGCGAAACGAGTTACGATATTGTATCGTTTAAACATCGCCTGATTACGTTGTTTCGTTTGGACATAAGCAACAACTTTTGTCTCTCTGATCCACTATGCACGAGGGTACACTTTTGAAAACGCGATGGTGCGATGATGAAAACACCACGGTACTATGATGAAACAACGATGGCAGGATGGTGAAAATACGATGACTCTTTGACTTGATGGTGAAAATAATATCGCGTTTTCATCATAATGTCATTGCAGTTTCATCATCTTACTAGCGTATTTTCAACATCGTAGCATCGTGCTTACACCATCGTACCATCACGTTTTACCATCATACCATTGTTGTTTCACCATCATACAATCGTTGTTTCACGTTCGTATCATCGTGTTTTCCCCATCGTACCATCGCGTTTTCATCATCGTATCATCGTGCCATCGCACTTTAACCATTGTACCAAGGAATGTCGTGCTTCAGGTTTAGCCAATCAAATTTCTTGAATTAGAGGTATTAAAATACATTGTATATATAGTTCCACTGTAGGTTTTAGGTTTAAGATTTTATATTAAAACATTTGCAAACCTATTTATGATGAAGTAAAACGGCGAACCTCGATTCTAAAACAAAATCTACCGTGGGAAAATATGTGACAAATAATTCATAACAAATGACATGAGACAAATGTGCTTTCTTGTCCCTTAAAAAACATGAGACAAATGTGCTTTTTGTTCCCTTAAAAAACTTGATCGGAGCACATTTGTCACACAAATGAGTGTTTTGGGGTAGACATTTGAGGTCTCATTTGTCTCACGTTGGACAAATGCGAACGCATCGGTCTTACGTAAGACAAATGTGTTCCGAGACAAATGTGCTCCTACATCAATGTAGTGACTAAAATCCATAAAAAACACGAAGATACCCATATAAAGCTATACATTTTATTATTTGTGGTTTGTAAAAAAATGAAATACTACATTTCGCCGAATTTTTATCACAATTTTGTCGAAATATTATTAAATTTAAATTGATATTCAACTCGATATATTAGAACATCTTTTGTCTTTTACATTGAATTATTTTTATTCTATTTCCAGATTTAGCTGATATGTATATCAATGCTTACATTTGGTTGGGAACCAGCACCCCAAATACCTGTACATGCTTCAGGAGAGAATTTGCTGATATAGAACCTCGATCTTGTGACATGAATGCCGCAATAGTTTGTGAACGACCTGGATAAACATATCATCAGGAGACCAGTCAACCCTTACTGCTTTAATGACAGGAAGCATTTTATTTATTTATTTGTCAAGAGATTATCGATGTTTCCTGATTTAAAATTGATAGGCAAAAATATAATTTATTTAACTCTTCGGGCAATTTATAGGAATCGGTTCCTTGAAATGGATATCGATTCTTTTGTTTTGCAAATTGCTATTTCTAGAGTAGGAATATATGGCAACAAAGAGAAAAGTATACCCTTTAAAGCTTTGCATTAAAATGATCTAAAACGATTTTACTAAACAAAGAACAATAGTGTAAAAAGGGATAAATATTGGGTTTAGTTAAGTACTATCTGATTTTCATTTTTCAGCTTCCACGCCTCATATGATGATATACAATTTATATAAAAATATCACGCAGAATATCTCAATATGTGTAACTAGCAATATATACACACAGTAATAATTATTGTTAAAAAAAAATGAAAAAAATATAACAAAAGATAAAAATATAGATAAAAATAAAATAAAAATACCTCTTCTCAAAGGGAAAGTTTTTTGTATGACGTCATTTCATTTGATTTATTTTCAAAGTTTCAAATGGTCATAATTCTATTGTTTTTTATGTTAAGTCTTAATTTTAATTAACTGAATAGTTTAAAGGCATATTTTGACCACTCCCTGTCATGCTATTAAATATCTAAGATTTATCATACACCCGTGCCGATTTTGCGACTCCGTAAATATGGTATTGCACGGCCGTGCATATATTTTGACGTGACGTCATTAGCGTTATACATAGTGTAGGGACGCGCTAAATGTTAGCGTTATACTATAGGCGCGTCAATGAAAAATGACTCTTATTTCGATTTAAACGGTCTTTATTTTGGATATGTGATAAATAGAATATTAAATTCGTGTAAGTTCATTACTGAATTTATTGCACTCGTTGAATAAAATAATATTATGCTCGCCAGAGGCTCGCATAATATAATTCTATTCAACTCGTGCAATAAATTCAGTATTGAACTAACACTCATTTAGTATCCTCTATTTATTTCCCTTGAATGTTGCATTTGTAAATTTTAAGTAATACTTTTTTATCACACATCCGTGCCGATTTTGCGACTCCGTAAAAAGGGTATTGCACGGCCGTGCATATATATTGACGTGACGTCATTAGCGTTATACAAAAATAGTGTAAAGACGCGCTAAATGTTAGCGTTATACTATAGGCGCGTCAATGAAAAATGACTCTTATTTCACATTAAACGGTCTTTATTTTGGGTATGTGATAAATAGAATATTAGATTCGTGTAAGTTCATTACTGAATTTATTGCACTCGTTAAATAAAATAATATTATGCTCGCCAGAGGCTCGCATAATATATTTTTATTCAACTCGTGCAAAACATTCAGTATTGAACTTACACTCATTCAATATCCTCTATGTATTTCTTTCATTTTATGTTGAGCCTTTGATTAACTGAGAACTAGAAATTAAAGCATATTTTGACCACTCCCTGTCACGCTATCAAATACCTTAGATCTATTTCCCTTACATGTTGCTATTGTAAATTTAAAGTATTACTTTTTTGCCTCAGTAAAGTATCTTGACTATATTCCAACACATGTACATTTTACTAAGTAAGTTACTAAGACCTTCATAATATTTTATTTCATTTTCTCATTGGACAGGCACAGTTTTTTTATCACTTGTATATAATTGATAATTTTTACTTGAACATTAATGTATCACTTTTTATTAAAAATAAACCGTTTTATGTTTTGTGAAGAATATTATGTCTGAGTAATAACTTATTCAAAATTTAAATATAGCTACAAAAGAAACACGTTAGAAAATCATGTTTATATCCGCCAGCTATGCTATGGAAACGAAACAGTGTTTGAAATTATTATTATTACCTAACATATTAGTTATAGAATATATAATAACTTCGATAACTGTAGTTAGTTGTAAAATAAATGATATTTTCTCAGATCAAATGATTTCACTCAAATGGATTGGAATTATTTCAAACAATATGAGTTCCCTTACAGATACATTGTTTATAATTGTTAAACTGACAAGAAACATGTCTACAAACCTATTAAAATGGCATTTTTAATTTAATCTGTTTTATTGGTACACCAAACTGTTCTTTAAATTGTGTTTAAGCAATTTGTATTAAAAGTTTTGTCTTTGATTATTTCTTTGACTTCAGAATCATATTTAGGTTTCACTGTGCACCCGAAAGTTCATTTTGCATTGTTATATTTTCTCTCTTTTTTTAAGGTCTTATTGACACAAAAACACTTTTCCTGTTTTGTAAGATCTTTTTAAATAATTTAAATATCAACTAAATATAACCATGTTCATATTATTTGTCAAACCTTTCTAAATGAAGGGAAACTAGTTTCTAAGATGAAAATCAACTAGATTAAATGAAAATTATGGCTTTAAAAATCCAAGTGTTACTATTTTTAACTAACACCAAATGCTCGGTTTTCATAGATAGAACGTGCCAAGTGTTCAAGGACGAAGACACAAAGGTTAATACAGGAATATGAGTAATAAAAAATGAACATATTTGCTATCAAAGTATATTGTTTTTATTCTGAAAATAACACGGGAATGACAAATCAATATCGATCATATATGTATCGTAGGTCTAAATGAGATATAAATTCAAATATTCTATTTTTTCTATAGATAAAACATAAATGTTCAGTGTAGTCGTTAATTTATTGGCAGCACATAATAATGAAATGGTCGTTAATGACGTTATTAAAACCTTTAACATTTCTTAGGAAAATATGACAATGTACAAATTTAAGAATGTCGTGTTAAAATACAAACCAAGAAGTCGTTAAAGTACTAGGAGAATTCTGTTGACTTAAGTTTGATATTGTTATCTTACGCATCCAGATATAGGACCAAAGGTACATTAAAACACGAATCTTAAACTCATTTAATGACTTTGGCAGGGTCAATAAGATACCGAACAATTATTATTGATTAATTATATCAAGGATGACGCAAATCATATATAATTTACTCATCGGTTTAGAAAGAACAGTAAAAATACAATCCCCAGGGTGTTTTGCTGTTACTCACAAACCTATGTGTTATTTATCTTACTAAGAATTACCCCGAACAAATATTACATTTTGGCATTGTTTCTATGGGATATTTTTTCTGTTAAAAAGTCCTGTTATCTATGTAACAATGCAACCAATTTAGTCACGTGGTAAACTTGAAATAACAATAATAACTCATTCATGGGATCGGTTGAATACCGCATTTTTAGGAATTGCATTCTTTGAACGCCGCCCTTCCTTGTTGATCTTGTTTTATCATTGATTAGTTATATCAAAGTCAGGGGCTCTCCTCCATCTTCAGTAACGCTACACTAATATATCTTTACGATCTAACGGTACCGACCAAAGCAAATGATAAACAAACTTTGACAATGTTGTTATATCATTTTTACCATATTGACTGAAATACATATTACATACTTATTCATATTATATTTGTATGTTTACCTTGACTTTATGTGTGTTGTATTTCAGGTTCTATATTTGTTAATGTTCAACATATATTGGCAAAGGCACGGTTTTGCCTTATGCTTTTCAATTTTGAATACTAATTGGCATGACAATGATTATTATGATTATTATTATTAATTATTTTAAACAAACGTAATAAACAATTAATTGATACATAATTTGGTGAAAGTTGTTTAAAAATTTCATATTTTCAATGCCATACTTATGCTTTTATATTGTTTTTCACAGATACGAAAATAAAATCTTGCAATAATGACACAGTTTCCTCTTTAGTAGCTAGTTCAAATTGAAATTAACTAGAAAGTAATTATTACTTATTTATTTATTAGACTTCTGCAAATATTAGCTGTGCATTGTCGTTATTAATTAAAATGTGAAAATGTCATTTGTTACGTGATTTTAATAAATTTCATCTATAGTGTTCCCTCAATGTAATTTGTTACTTCTATTTCGCAAATGTCGGCAGCATTAAATTACTAAAAGCGAAAACATTAAATCACATATAATACTGAAAATGATTTGCGCCCTACGGATAAGCAACATACATTGAATGTCATACTGCTTGAGATGAATAAGTTATAGTAAAACTTGTTCCAGTTAATGATTTTCAAAGACTTTAATCTGTTTTTAAGAAAAAATATTTTTTTACTAAATCTTCCAAATCATTTTTTTAGAATTTTATATATTATCATGCTCTTTCTTGCCACATGATATTTGTCATGTGCTAATGCAGTTATAAATTCAAAGTAATTATATGCTTTGTTTATTATCTAAAATGGAGGGCATTCATTGCCAAAATTCCAGACATTTAAATGGTGCCTTTTGAAAAAACGAACGTGAATGCCTAGCCAAAAACCCGCGCAACGGTTTGGCTGCGGCCAGTAACCACTGCTTTCACACAGACCACGTGATGATGGTCTTATCACATGGTTGTGTCAAGATGGCGGATACCCCAAAGAAATCAATTGTTTTATTTGTAATAAACAGCGACATTATAACTTGAGCTGTGGTGTCAAATTTGTCGATATGCTGTAACAAATATCATTTTTGTTTAGTGTAGCATCAAAATTTTCTCGTTCGAAAGCGGCCATTGTTTTGGACATAAACGGTTATATATTAAAATTCTTTTCATAATATTTATGTTTATTTCAGTTCACATCTATCACCTTACGGTCTTGAACATAAGCAAACCGTATTTACTTTTAAAAATAAATATCAAAATTGTAAATATTCGAATAAAAAATGTTGACCAAAATGTTGTGTTGGCAAAGATCTAATCCTGTTAGGGGAGATCACTGCATTCGTGATTGATGCCTAGCATATTTGACTGTATCCGTGTACTGCAAATAGTATGTCTCCTAATCCAATATTTTAATCGAAGATACCCGCTTTGAAATAACAAGTTAACAAGAATACTCGAAGAATTAAAATACCACAAGCACACAATCATGCCGTGCTGAACAATATTTAAGGATTGGAAATATAAAATCCCCGATTGAATGAACCCCCGTCTATTTACGGCCTCCACACGGCAGAAACAACGCTGGTGAAGTGATGAAACAGAGAGTTTAGCCCATCTCACACAGGACACACGGCTTACACGGTTGGCCACCCGTGTAAACCGTACATACAACCGAACTAACCGTAGCGTTTTCCGAGTTACACTCGGGCAATTCGAGTGTATCCGTGTAAGCCGTGTATGATTTTTAAAACTTTTAAGAAACTGGTACGGATGCCATGTCCGTGTATGACCGTATAAGCAACCGTACAAGACCGTAAGAGACCTATGAGACCGTATATACAGCCGTATGTGAAGTTCACTCCACTAGTGAGCCCAACCGTATCAAGGTCGTATATAAATCGTATGGAATCGTTCGAGACCGTCCCCAAGTCCT